AGAAGTGTGTGAGTAATCAGGGTCCAGGCCTAAGGCAGAGATAATATCCTTGGCCTCAAGATGCTGCTATGTCCCTGCTCCCAGGTTTCCAGCAGTCCTGCCAATCCTTAAGGGGATCAAGCATCAGAGCCAGGGTGTCAAAAGTTTGCTTCATTAGGTATCATTTACTTTCATTCCCCACTCTCTCAATAATTTATAAAAATTTCAAACATACACAAAATTGAAATAATTTTATAGAGAATACCCATGTACCCCACTATCTAGATTCTATCATTAGCATACTTTTTCCATATAAATATATGTGTGTGTGTGTGTGTATATATTCATTCTTTTATCCATCTATCAATTTATCTTATTTTATTATTTTTTTTTTGAGACAGAGTCTCACTTTGTTGCCCAGGCTAGAGTGAGTGCCGTGGCGTCAGCCTGGCTCACAGCAACCTCAATCTCCGGGGCTCAGTGATCCTCCTGCCTCAGCCTCCCGAGTAGCTGGGACTACAGGCATGCGCCACCATGCCCGGCTAATTTTTGGTATATATATTTTTAGTTGGTCAATTAATTTATTTCTATTTTTGGTAGAGACGGGGTCTCGCTCAGGCTGGTTTCGAACTCCTGACCTTGAGCAATCCGCCCGCCTCGGCCTCCCAAAGTGCTAGGATTACAGGCGTGAGCCACCACGCCCGGCCAATTTATCTTATTTTCAATGTATTTCAAAAAGCTGTAGACATAAGTACACTTAAACTTTTCAGCATTTCATTATCTAGAATTCAATTTATGGTTCTTTTCTTTGGAGGTAAAACTTATACAATAAAATGTGCAACTTTTAAGCATACCTTTGCTGAATTTTGACAAATATATAACCCAATGCTCTATCAAAATACAGAACATTACCTTCACACTAGAAAATTCCCTCATGTCCCTTCCCAATCATACCTTCACTTTTGAGACTGGTACATGGAAGCTCCTACAGAAAAAGAAAAAGAAACTGTAATTACTCTAGGAGTAAAACAACACAACTATAGTATTATATATACTACATTTAATACATATATCCCAAATATCCTGTACTTCTCTGACAGTCACTTAGTCACCAACTTCACAAGCCTGGAACTAGCCTAATCCCTATATTAGTGTGAGGACCCCAGGTTTACAGACTTTTCATGCAAATACAATTCTAACAATGTGGTTGGGTTTCCAAATTCACAGATTAGGAATGATAAAATCTGAATGGAAACAGAGGCTGCTAAAACTATGCAAAGCAAAGAGTGGTAATCGCCTGACAGGGGTACAGACAGAAAAAGCCATAAAAAACAGATGTAAGAATTGGAAAGAGGTAAAAAAATCTGGTGCCATTTAATGCATGGGCAAATGGCTCTATACACTCAAGAGCACTCCCGACGATACCACCAAACCATAACAAAGTGAAATATGGCAGACCTTTGTTTTGGCCTCTGAAGTTTCATTACTGTGGTTTCAATTACGTGTGAGTAGCCCCTAAGGTCTATCACGTATAATTTTGCTGAGACACGATCCTAGATAACATGTATGGTAAGGCTGGTGTGTGGGGAGCAAGTCAGCCACTTGGGTTAGAATGAGAATGAGCCTGACTGGCTGCCCAGAATTTATATCTGATTTCGGCTTTGATGTCACTTACAGGCTGCCATGTACTCAGAAACTAGAAAAATGATAAAAGCATTCCTTCTTAGTAAAAATGACCTAAAAAAAAAAAAATTAAAAAGCAGCTACTAGAGTTGATAACAGACGTGAGGAGGTCTAAGAAAGAAGGTTCTTGGCTAGAAATAATATGTTTTAAATAAAAAATGAGTTGCCTAGGATTATTGATATGACATAGTTCCCTCCACATGCTTTCTACAGATACAAAGCAAAAGTGACTCATGAAATTGAGATAATGTTCCTGCCAATTTGCAGAACAATGGACTGCAAATGCAAACACTGGACTGTACAGCAGAAATTATATGCTGGAGTGGTTATCTACAAATGTGGGAAAAGGCAGAACTCCCATAAATCCTTGCACATGAATTACCAAAAAACTTAAATACAGCCTGCTTTACTAAGAGGTAGTAAGATATGGTACACACTTCTCCCCACCAAAGTGATGAAAACAAAACAACCTTTGGAAGTTTAAGAAGTAAATTTAATATATCTAGAAAACTCATTTCTGTGGAAAGCCCATTCCATTACAAAAACCATTTCTTTTAAAATCCATATTCATAAAAAATCTGGTTAAACAACGTGGTGGTGAGTATCAGCTTTTGGAAGTTTTTGACTTTGTCAAAAGGATTTAACAGAATTTGTATTGACAGTGAGCTCCTCCATCAATTATAGAAATGAATTTTATTTATAAACATTCAACTTATAGCTTTCAAGAATGTACTCACTGCCATGTGGTCCACTATCATTATAGAAGAAGGACAAAGAGTGAAAGAGAAGCATGAAAGCACAGGGATAGAGAAAGGGATTGCTGGAGAGATAGAAGCAAGCTGACAGCAGCCATTTCTATTTTACATGTCCCAACCCTGCTTGCAATCTTAGTAACAAAAACATCTGTGGGCACTGCTAAATTTATGATTGCTAAATCACAGTATCTCCGTCTTTAATCTATTTATGAGGCAAAAAGTAGTCTTATACCTGACATTCAAAATAACCTGTACTGCCCCATTGTATACTGCAATTTTTCAGGAAAAAAACCCACATATGCTTACACAAGATTTGTCACATGTAAACTGCACTACTTTTATACTTTTCTCCCTTTTATTCAGAAGGTGACCTATTAAACTAGCTTCCAATTTATGGCCTATATCTTCAGAATCATTTTCAAGTTGTCTGCTGCCCAAACGCTGTGTTGTATTTAATAGAACCAACTGTTCAGAATTGTCTCCACCCTTGCCTATCCTCTGCTGGGTCAGGTGTGGTATGCACTGAAATGACCAGTAGTAGGTCAAAGAACAGGAAAAAGCAACACTCAGGATGTTTCCATGGCTTGATTATCTGAATACTACCATAGGAAAGCTTCCTGCCTCTTCTGGTTATGTACATATGAATGGGCACTACAGTCTAACCGAAATGGTAAAAAGCCCCTTTTATAACACAAAGTCTGATCAAAACTACCCAAGGCAGAAAATAGAAACTGACAAAACAGTTGTTCAGTGATGAATTAACTTTACCTAAAGAGAGGTCTGGCCTCTACACTTGGTTTCTGAGAGATAATCTCTAAGCCTACTAGAATGCCACCTCTGATAGCAGTGTTGTTGTTTGCCTGGAGCCTTGGGTCACTGGATAGTCTAATATTAATAATATGATTTAGGGACACTGGATAGTCTTAATATAGGGGCTTTGGGTCACATAGTATCAGCAGACCTCTAGAGAGACTGGAGACTGAGATCAGCCATGTGGACAGCCAGCCATAGCTACACTATGGAGCCCCTATAAAAACTCTGAACTCCTAGGCATGGGTGAACTTGCGTGGTTGGCAATATTCCATGCACACTGTCACACATTGACACTGAGACAGTAACCCTATCCTGACTCCACAGGGAGAAGACAAAAGAAATGCCACATTCGGTACTTTTTTGGACCCTGCCCCACATACTTCTTTACTTGGCTGATTTAATCTGTATCCTTTCCCTTGTAATAGAACTGTAAACATGAACATAACCATCAGTGATTCAGTGAGTCCTTGCACCAAATTGTCAAGCCTTGAGGGTGGTCTTAGGGACCACTGAATTTAAAGTTGGTATCAGGGAACTTACACAAACTCAGGTGGTAAAATAAATGAAATTATAAAATGTTTAAAAAAAAGAGGTCAGTATCAGAAGTGGATAGTCACACAGACTATTCCGTCTAATTTAGCAGCTGTTTAAACTCTTGGAGTAGGTGTCAGAAGTGAGGGTAAGTCTTGTGGCCTGTGTTTCCTCTAATGTCTTAGTTTGCTGACTCCTTGCAACAGTGCTATTATTCCTCTTTTCAGGCATCTAGCATGAACACACTTGTATTTGGTAGAGCTATTTGTGTATCTGCCTTATCCCTACCATTGGCCTCTGAGCCTTTAGTACCTCAATCTCCCCCCATACATGTCCTACAACTGGCCCATAGTGGCTATTAGTATACATTGAATGGATTCAACAAATCATACAGAGTATAATAGGAATAAAACTGAGGTTATTTTGATTGCTCCCCTCCCATAATCACCATTTTAAAAGGCACTGATGGCAGCAACTCTAGCATTGTTTAGGATTTACCTTTGTTCTGAAAGAGCATCTGCAGGAAATAACTGATGTGCGAGAGCATGGTCCACAGTCTCCTTCATGGCAGAGTTTTTCGCAGGTATGAATGAAATCTTTAATAAAAATGAAAAGAGCCGGGAATGAAAATAGAAACTACTCATTTTCATACTTCCAAATTCACTAGTCACACTGGTCTTTCACCTCTACTCCTTGAAACTCCAGAATCAGAGTTGAGGGAAGAAGGATGTAGCCAATACTTCTTCCTATATCTTCCCTTCATCCAGCAGACTGGGCCTTTTCTGACATGGACAGGGCCCAGAATTAGACAGTGGAATATGCTTTGGAGTGTACAATGCTTAGTCTAAGTCAAAGAATAGATCTTCTGACTCTTTCTTTAGGCCCCAGTCTCTAGGTTAGATTGGATCTCCTTAAATTGTAGCCATGGATGACTTTCTTGAAATGCTTTTGACTCTGAGAGTCATCTAGGGATCATAAATCCCCACAAGCCATGATCCATAATCTCACTGTCTCAATCTCTGTGAATGTCTGGTGATGGGTGGCCTGCATTCTGCTAAGCTAGGTTTAGGACAGGTCCTGTTTCTGGGATCCCTCTAGGATAACTCAGAGTCTCTTTTTATAGCTAATACTGATATGATGTATTTTTTCCCTCCTTTAACTTTTAGTCTCATTTTATTTTGGACTCTAAAATCTGTTTCCTGAAGATAGCATATAGTTGGATCTTAATTTTTTTTTTTTATCCAGCCTGAAAAATCTGCTTTTGTTTAATTCATTCACATTTAATGTTATTATTAATGTAGCTGGATTTATGTCTGCCATTTTACTTTTCTGATGGCCCCATCTCTGCTTAAGATAATCCCTGACCTCCACCCACCTTTTACTACATTTTTTTGAGTTTTCTTTTAATGGTTGCTCTAGGGCTTACCATATGCCTCTTATCAGAATTTACTTCAGATTTATACTAATTCCAGTGAGATACAGAAGCTTTACTCCTACGTTCTATTCTTCTTCTCTTTTGTGTTATTTTTGTTATACATATACATAGATATCTATGTTATAAACCCAATACTACATTGTTATAATTATAACTTCATATAATGTTATATCTATTAAGGAAGTTAAGAGAGGACATATATATTTATAGTTTGTTATATTTTTTAATTTACCATTTCTGGCTTTCCTCATTTGTCCCTGTGGGTTTGTTACCACCTGGTATCATTTCCTTATTCCAATATAAGTCTGATCACATCCACATCTTTTGTGCTATTATTGCCAAATATATTTCTAGATGTTATAGGCCTAACAATTATATATATATTATTATATACAATTATTTTTTAAATTAGTTGAGAGAATTTAGACTGTCTTGCTAGTGCTCTTTTGTGTTTTCATGTGTACTTGAACTTCCATCTGGGTTTACTTGGTTTTAGCCTGAAGAACTTCTCTTAGTATTTATTGCAAGGCAAATTGGCCTGATAGCAACGAATTTTCTTTGTTTTTTTTTTGAGACAGGGTCTTGCTCTGTTGCCCTGCTAGAGTGCAGTGGCATCATCATAGCTCACTGCAACCTCAAATTCCTGTGCTCAAGAGAGATCCTCCTGCCTCAGCCTCCTGAATAGTTGGGACTACATGCACACGCCACTATGGCCAGCTGATTTTTGTATTTTTTGTAGAGATGTGTGTCTTGCTCTAGCTCAGATTGGTCTCAAACTTCTGACCTTAAGTGATACTCCTGCCTTGGCCTCTCAGAGAGGTAGGATCATGGGCATGAGACACTGTGCCCAGCCAATGAATTTTCCTGGTTTTTGTTTATCTTCATTTTTAAAGATAGTTTTGCTGGAAATAAGATTATTGGTTGGCAGTACTTTTCTTTCAGTACTTTGAATGTGTCATCCTACTGCCTTCAGGTTGTGATGCTTTCTCAATAGTTTCTGATGAGAAGTCCACTGTTAATCTGTTCTCTTGTATGTGAGTAGTCATTTTTCTCTTGCTGCTTTCAAGATTTTCTCCTTGTCTTTGGCTTTCAGCATTTTTATTAGATGTCTGGGTGTGGATCTCTTTGCATTTATCCTAACTGGAGCTTGTTGAGTTTCATGGATGTGTACACTAACATTTTTCAGTAAATTTGAACATTTTCATTTATTATTTTTTCAAATATTTTCCTGTTCCTTTCTACTATCCTTTTCATATCCCCATTACATATACACTGATGAACTTAAAGGTGTGTCACATTTCTCTGAGCATGTTCATTTTTCTTCATTCTATTTTGTCTCTGTCCTTTGGATTATATAATCTCTACTGACCTATCTTTGTGTTCACTGATCATTTCTTCTGCTAGCTAAAATCTACTGTTGGGCCCCTTTAATAAATTTTTCATTTCAGTTATTGTATTTTTCAATTTCAGCATTTTCATTTGGTTTTTATAATTTCTATCTTTATTGATATTCTTTATTTGATAAGACATAGTCTTCATACCTTCTGTTTCCTCTTCAAGCATGGTTTCCTTTAACTCTTTGAACATATTTATAATGGGTATCCCAAAGTTTTTGTTAAATCTGACATTTGTTCACTGTCACAGGCAGTTTCTGTTGCCTGCTTTTTCTACTTCTTTGCATATTCATAATTTTTGCTTGGAAGCTAGAGGTTTTAGCTAATATATTACAGCAAGTCTGTATACTGCTTCCCCTCCCCACAGCTTGTTTATGTTGTGGTTTGCTTGTTTGTTTTGTGACTTGGCTAGACTACTTTAGTAAGAAACCACTAGTGTCACTCTTTGGATGGCATAGTCTTGGGGATGCACACTTACCCTGGGATGTCAGTGGTTTTAGCAGGACTCTCTTTGATGTCTCTTTCTCTGATCTCTCCGTTAAGCTGTGTGCCTCATTTGGATTACACTACACTAATTGCCAGTCTATTGTTTTTGACTATGCCCTAGGGCATAAATTGTTCAGCAGTCTGAGTCAATTAAATTTGGGCCCCAGTAGGCTTTGTAATAAATCTCTGAGGTTTGTTCTAATCCCAGGAGGGATCCTTTTATTTTTATTTTTTATTTATTTTTGAGACAAAGTCTCACTTTGTTGCCCAGGCTAGAATGAGTGCTATGGCATCAGCCTAGCTCACAGTAACCTCAAACTCCTGGGCTCAAGCAATCCTCCTGCCTCAGCCTCCCGAGTAGCTGGGACTACAGGCATGCGCCATCATGCTCGGCTAATTTTTTCTATATATATTAGTTGGCCAATTAATTTCTTTCTATTTATAGTAGAGACAGGGTCTCACTCTTGCTCGGGCTGCTTTCAAACTCCTGACCTCGAGCAATCTGCCCACCTCAGCCTCCCAGAGTGCTAGGATTACAGGTGTGAGCCACCGTGCCCAGCCAGGAGGGATCCTTTTAGCTATCTTCCCCTGATTCTCTCTGGTGAGCTAGCTGGCCTACAGTTTAGCTTATTGCTCTTTATTAAGATGAGCTCTCAAGTGCTTTACTAAGATAAGCTTTCTAAATTATCCTTGGGCCTGAAATTCCCCATACTCTGTTTTAAATAAAGTTAGTTCCTTTGGAGAATACTTTAAAGTTCTTTTTTCTTATGAACTGCCTCTCTCCCAGGGTAAAGTTTCTGAGGCACCCCTCTAGGTGCTGGGTGGGGCAGTAGCTTCTTGTCTTCTTGGTTTGCTTCTCTGTGTGGAGCCTTTGCCCTATGAGTGAGCTGGAGGATGACTGGGGCCCCAGTATTCTGCTACAAATGGCATAGAGCCTCCATTCTATAGACGGCAGCTAGGTGGATAAAGGGAGCCCCTAAACCTCTCAGCTACACTCACCAGAAATTCAGCCTCTTCACCTTAGAGTTGGAGTGTAAGAGAAATGTTGGCAGTGTACGCTTCTGGGTGAGTACAGTAACCCTTAACTGGGAGCTGAGGGGAGAAGCAGCCTTGTCTTCTTGGCCATACTCATCCTGAGTGGAGCGTTTGTCAAGCTGAGCTGAGGGGAGGAGGGAGGGTGTATATTGTAGCTCAATGCTACAGACTCTTGCTGTTGCTTACCTGAGTTTTATAGATTTTCTTTAATAAATATTTCTTCATTTGATGTATGCCCTTAGTACAATTTCCAGAGACTTTAAATGGTTGCCTTTTTATAGCTTTCCCCAGCTTTGCTTGTGTTGCTGGGGAGCAGATCCACAGGGAGCTCCTCATACTATCATCCTGAAAGTACAATTCTACCCAATCTCTTATACCAAAGCTGTGTCTTTGGGATGGAAATTTCCTACTGGGTGAGATACTTAAAAGACCTTTCTATAGATAAGCTAGGTCTCAAAAACTTGAGAGCCATTGTTACCACTGGCCACAGGTTTGTCTTTGAGCTTCTCAGTCTAATTTAGCCTAGTTTCTTAAAAGTTTTCCATGATTAAAAATCTGCTAAAGGCTAGGTACATTGGCTTATGCCTGTAATCCCAGCACTTTGGAAGGATGAAGTGGGAGGACTGTTTGAGGCTAGGACTTTGAGATCAGTCTAGGCAACATAATGAGACCCCATTTTTACAAAGAAAATAAAAAAATTAGTTGGGCACAATGGTGCACACCTGTAGGCCCAGATACTTAGGAGGCTCATTGTGGAAGATTGCTTGAGCCCAGGAGTTTGTGGCTGCAGTGAGCTATGATGATGCCACTGCATTCTAGTTGAGTGACAGAGCAAGATCCTGTCTCTAAAAAAACAAAACAAAAATAGCTCATTCCATCCAAGTTGTTACAAAAAAAAAAAAAAAACAATAAGAAAAAAAAAAATAGCTCAGTATAGCAGTTATCCTCCAATCTCTTAACCTGGTTTTGTCCCACCCCAAGGTCTGTTATTGACAGTTACTATCCCTCTCTTGTTCAAGTCCCCTTCTATTACCCATTTCACATTTCATTTTTGTCTCATCGCCAACAGGATACTGGAGCCTTAGGTAGGATTTCTGATTATTGTAGATGAAATTCTTACAGAACCCGTGTGCTTTTGGAAAAGGGAAAAACTTTATCATCCTTCTTGATTTAGAAGACATTTGATCTCCATATCATAGATACACTTTCTTGGTAGGCAGAGAACTAATGGATAATTGGTTATCTTAATGCAGCTGGAACATGTATTAAAATATGAGAAGAACATTTCTCCTCTATACATAATTTTAAACTCATATTAAGAAAAAGGATTAGGTAGGGTACTTCTACTGATTCCTGCAGGTAATTAGAAATAATGTGAAATCTATCTTCTTGATAAAATGAAAACCAAATCTAAAGATTCTAGCATTACCAAAAAGAGGCACAGTTAGTTATAGGAATATCTTTCCTATTCAGTCTCAGTTGCCTACTTTCATTTTTCTAAATATACAGCCTTTGAACACTCACTCAGGAGAGAAGTTGCCAAGTCACTGCAAAATTGCATATATATATTCCCCAAAGACTAAGTCAGATAGGCTCAGTCAGAAACTCAGACTATTTTATATCTAATTCCAACAAGCTTTTTCTGGTTTCTATATCCAAGTAATCAGAAGCCACAAATCAGAAGGGGGGGTCATTAAAGATAAGCAAGCAGGTATATTAAAAGCATTGACAAGAAAATAAATAACAAAAAGCTTTAACAAACAGATAAAACAATTCAGGGCCGCCCCGGGAGCATCCCTCCCGCGCGGGAGCCGCTCGCCGCGTCCCATTTAAAAAAAAAAAAAAAAAAAACAATTCAAACTGCATATTAATATGGGACAAATTGCCTGAGAAACCTCTGCAGTCTCTGAGGGCAGCTCTGTGTTAACTATAATACAGTAACGGAAGTTTGTGAAAAAGAAAGAAAGAAATTACTTCCACTAATCTGTTTAAAGAAAAGAATGTAAATTTTACAAAAATCTTTGTTGAAAATGATGTTCAAGAGGTGCTATCCTCAGTAAGATGGGCAACTTAGCTATAGAGACTGATAGTCCTTGAATGGCCTAAATGGCTAAAGTTATATTGTACTTAGAATTTTAGTTCTTTTTTTTTTAGAGATAGAGTCTTGCTATGTTGACCAGGCTGGAGTGCAGTGGCTACACGCAGGCGTAATCATAATACATTGTAGCCTCAAACTCCTGGGCTCTGGTAATCCTCCTTGCCTCAGCCTCCCAAGTAGCTGCAACTACAGGTGCATGCCACTGTGCCTGGCAGAATTTTAGTTTTAAATATCTTACCTACAGTTATTTTAGCATGTTCCTATTACATGAAAATGCTTTTAAATACTTGCTGAACCCTGGGTTAGTAAAAACATGTATGGTATTCATACTAATGTAGGCTCCTAAAAGAAATCATTACCTACCCCTTGGAATAGTATCTCACCACAGCTCTCTAGAATTAATAACAAAATACCTGAATCACAGACATCACTTGGGCAAATGTATATTTTCACAGGTATATTTTGAGGAGGAAAGAAAAAGTACCTATATAAATTTCATCTTACTATTTAGAAGAACTTCTGATATTGTAACTGGAATTGAATACTGCTGTATTTAAGTAGTTATTGCTGCCAAACATTTACATTGATATTTTTAAAGCCAACTTTATGCCTACTAGTTACCTAAGGAACCACAAGGCAGAGGCTTGCCGCACACTTTTCCACATGAAGGGACAGGATCCATGCACGTTTTCCGACCATTACTTCCAAGTTCTAGCAATTGGCTGAGAGGAGTTTGGCCACAAGGGCAACAGCGCACCAGCTGGGGCAGCCGTGGGCATGGCTGACAGGGCTGAGGGTGGCACACTTGAGAACATGTATGGTTCCCACATTTCAAGTCCCTGTTAAGAAAAGCATACTACTATATAATTGTTGCATAAATTGCAGTTTTATTCCAACTGAGGAAAATGTAGAACCTTACTTGCCACATATCTTTAAACAGCCGAAATCCCCAAATCCATCAGACTTTCCTACATCTGCTCCACATAACACATCTCGGGAGGTGCTGCCACAGTAGCATACTTGAGGACACAATTTCAAAAACAAAAGATTAGTAACCTGTATGGGTTCTTAAAATGTTCCAAACAATCTATAAGAAAACACAAAACACCATTCATTAGAGTGTTAATCAGACCTGACGCAGAAATGAATGTGGGCTTATACAGCAGCTCTAAGACCCACCTAAGAGCTTTATCACAGGAAGAAATAAAAAAGCCCATGTTAAACTCTGTTAATATGTCCCAGTGCCTCTGTAGCACATCCCAAGAACAGCATTAGAGTGAAGCAACTCCTAAATTAAGAGAACATTATCTGGTCCATAAGACCCCATGGTTGAACACCATGGATTATGAGGCTCCCTTGGGCCTCTGGAGATGTTACAGGTGATGGATGAGCTAAGCTGGTAGTAGTGGTGGAGGGATTGACACCTGGATTCCCCATCCTCACTTCAATCCAAGAAGCATAGCCTTTATACTTTATATATTGGGGTTTACATGAAATGCTTGAAGAAAGGTCCCTGTTGCTAAAAAGAAATATAAAAAATTCATATTATGGTATAAAATCCTTAATAATTTGTATACTACTACTGTTGAATTTGAAGTAATCATGTTTGAGCATTCACACTGAGTAAAAAGTTTCAAATAACTTGAAACTAGAGAACCCAGCCTATTGATTTTTTTATGGGTTTAAGAAATAATGGATTCCTTTATTTGCTGGGGTCAGCAATAAGCATGTGTTATTTTTAGAGAGTTATGTTATTTTGGATGCACTAAAATATAATAGAGTCCTAATAAGGATTAATTTTCATTAACATAATTTTCTGATAAAATGTCACTTTACATTTTTAGTTTACAATAAAAATTTATCTCATTAAAATCAATCTGTGGTAGTATACCTTGCCCTACATAATAAATGCTGACCAGAAGAGTGAAAATCAAATTGAAATTATGCAGATCTAATATTGCTTTCCTTCTTCCTCAGAACAATTTAGATATTTACTTGCACAGAAAATCAACATCTGAATAAATGCAACATCATAAAAACATCAAATCACACATGTAATAAAAATCGAATGTTTCTAATTAGGTATAATATTTGTAAAATAGTATGTTGAACAGAACCAAAAACTTTCACTGAGACATGGGAAGAGGAAAGCATCAAATCACTGAAGATACAATTCAGACTCTTGATTTTTAAAATACACATTCCATTTTTCAATAAGTACATATGTAATTTCATCCCCTGTTCTAAAACTCATTCAATCATTCAATAAAGACTCATATAATGCAGGAAGTGCAATCAATATTTGTGGAATCAATGAATTAGTAAACAAACCCTGGCAACTGAGAGCTTCTGCAAGCAGGCTTTTCTTTGCTAAGTTTCTGCTCAAACAGAACAGAGGCTTTTTTCAGAGGTAATAAACAGACAACTGTAAACAATAGTGTCAAGGGTCCTAACACTGTGAAAATAAAAACAAAATGGAGCCCCTGTTAATCAGGAAATAATCTGAATACAATACTAAAAAGCTCTGCAATGCTTAGGCACAAGAGACAGAAATATCTGTTGACAGAAAAATTAGAGTCACAGCTGGCTGAATAGTATTAAGGAACTAAAGACAGTCTGGAGAAAGGACCCTGTTGCCAGCCTTAATCTGTTCAGTATTTTATCAACACATGAATAAGACCCAAAAGGAATGCTTGTTAAATCTCTTGATAAGGCTGAAAGGGATCCTAGAAGGATTATAATTTGAGAAAAACTATATACATGGCACAAATACTCTGCTAGATATTTAGTGCAGACAAACAAAAAATTTTCAACTGAAAATTTGAAATATCAACTATACAGAAAGGAAGAAACTGGGATCCATACAAATTTGTACAAGACAGACTTGGGTAATCTAAGTGAGTAAAAGCCAGTACGAATCAAGAGCTAAACATGGAGGGTTCCAGGGAGTAATGGTGAGCACTTTGGACTCCGAATCCAGCGATCTGTGTTCAAATCTCAGTGAGACCTTTCTCTTTAATTGGGAACACCTTTTCTGGCCGGGCATGGTGGCTCATGCCTGTAAATTCCACCACTCTGGGAGGCCGAGGCAGGCGGATTGCTCAAGGTCAGGAGTTTGAAACCAACCTGAGCAAGAGCGAGACCTCATCTCTACTAAAAATAGAAAGAAATTAATTGGGCGACTTCCGGGGCCCCGCTCTTGGGGCCCCAGAACCTCGTCCATAATTTAAATAATAAAAAAAAAAAAGAAATTAATTGGCTAACTAAAAATATATAGAAAAAATTAGCCAGGCATGGTAGCACATGCCTGTAGTCCCAGCTACTCGGGAGACTGAGGCAGAAGGATTGCTTGAGCCCAGGAGTTTGAGGTTGCTGTGAGCTAGGCTGACACCACGGCACTCTAGCCTGGGCAACAGAGTGAGACTCTGTCTCAAAAAAAAAAAAAAAAGCTAAAAATGGCCAAGATCAAGGGGACTCTCCAACACCATTGTCTATACTGCTAATACCAGAGTGCCAGTAGTATATACTTAACTCCTGCTTTGCCTCAAAATGGATTTGATGTAGCTTGTAAAGATATGTGAAATTTAATAAGGGAATGGAAATTAAAAGATGTAAAAAGGAGGCCGGGCGTGGTGCTATAATCCTAGCACTCTGGGAGGCCGAGGCGGGCGGATTGCTCAAGGTCAGGAGTTCGAAACCAGCCTGAGCAAGAGCAAGACCCCGTCTCTACTATAAAAATAGAAAGAAATTAATTGGCTAACTAACATATATACAGAAAAAATTAGCCGGGCATGGTGGCACATGCCTGTAGTCCCAGCTACTCGGGAGGCTGAGGCAGAAGGATTGCTTGAGCCCAGGAGTTTGAGGTTGCTGTGAGCTAGGCTGACGCCACGGCACTCACTCTAGCCTGGGCAACAGAGCCATACTCTGTCTCAAAAAAAAGATGTAAAAAGGAAAACAATAGTATGAATATAGAATGAGCCATAGTTTAAAAATGTACACTATAAAGGCAAACAATAAGTCGGTTATATAGGATTCCTAAGATAAAATGAGATCAATAGTTTTTGAGGAAAAACAACTATTTTAGGAACTAAGATCAGGCAGGGAATTTATCCTAAGAGGACCTATAAAAAGAACAGTAATATACAGCACTGTTCCTTACATAAAATCTTAATAGAGCACACCACAAAACATTTTACATAGCTGTTTCTTACTGTGAGTGCCAACGTAGGTCAATAGTATCACACCAAAGTGAAATTTAATGAAATAAAAACCTAGAAGGCACCAATACATTGTGGCCCAAGATCCATGCTGATTAAGGGCAATTGTAAAAACAGAAAAACAGAGAGGAGGGGCTAGGTGGGTGAATGTATCGACTACAGATACTGAAAGCTATCTTCTCTGAACACTTTCTCCCAACTGAGATTCTGAGAACTACTATGTGGCATGGGTTTGTGATTATATGCCTGATAAATACCTGGATTGAGCTTTTCTACACCTCCTGTTAAATACAGACCCATATGGCATAATAGATAATCAAACTGTGCATACAGTTGACATTCTCCTGAGGACAATATCAAAAACAGGAGCTTGAACAGAAGATTATCTCACTTGGGCCAGAGATAAAACTGAGGGAAGTTCCCACAGGCAGGGGCAGGATTCAGAACAGGTGATTAAAGTCTTTAAGTTCTACTCCATAGAGAATAGACTACAGAAGTGTCAGCCTGGAAAATAATCAGGACACATTTAACCAGTTATCTGTCTCAGTCAAAAATCTCAAGGAATTTATTCAGAGAACCGCTAGCTTTGAGCAATACTGATTTTTTTTTTTTTTTTTTTTGAGACAGAGTCTCACTTTGTTGTCCAGGCTAGAGTGAGTGCCGTGGCGTCAGCCTGGCTCACAGCAACCTCAATCTCCTGGGCTCAGCGATCCTACTGCCTCAGCCTCCCGAGTAGCTGGGACTACAGGCATGCGCCACCATGCCCGGCTAATTTTTTGTATATATATATTTTAGTTGGTCAATTAATTTCTTTCTATTTTTGGTAGAGACGGGGTCTCGCTCAGGCTGGTTTCGAACTGCTGACCTTGAGCGATCCGCCCGCCTCGGCCTCCCAAAGTGCTAGGATTACAGGCGTGAGCCACCGCGCCCGGCCTAGCAATACTGATTTTGATGAATCCCACAAAAACACTGGCAATCCTGTGATCACTTCTAAGAGAATGTGTGATCTGGTAAGCATGTTTCACAAGGAAGAAATGAAGCAATCACAGTTGTTAGGCATAGAAAGGAAACACTACGAAGAGACTATATAACAGCTGATTTTGAACCTCCCAGGAGGAACATAAAATGTGGAGAAAAGCAGATCAATGAGAGGATATTTGAGGGCAGCAGATGTTGGTTCAATAAAAGAAAAAACTGGGACAATTAGAGTTGTCCCATGACCAAACTAGCTACCTAAAAATACAGTGAGCTTTCAGGCTGTTTAATCAGAGACTGAGTAACTGGCAACATCGACTCTGGGCAGCAAAGTGGGAATAACTACAGTAAGAGAAAACTGAATTAGATTCTTCTGACTCATTTGAAGATTCTAATAACAAGAGAATGCAAGACCAAAGATTAAAAACATCAAAAACATACTCTTACATTCAGAATTTTTTAAAATAATTTTTTTCTATCTATATAGTTACTTGCTCTTTTTTCCCACTGAGGTATAATTAACATATAATAAACACATATTTTTTAGGCATTCAGTTTGATATGTTTTGATAACTGTATACATCTGTGTAACCATCACCCAAAATAAGATATCAAACATTTCCATCAACCCAGAAAATTTCTTTGTCCCTTCTCCCAATTTCCATCCCTAAGCAATCATTTTCTAATTTTTATTATGAAAGATTAGTTTTATTTGTTCTTAGATTTCATATAAATAGAATCGTAAAGTTCTCCTCTGTATCTAGCTTTCTTCATATAATGTAATGTTTGTGAGATTCATCTATTTGTTGAAAATGTCACTATTCCATTCCTGTTTATCGTTGTGTAGTATTCCACTACATAAAATACCATAATTTATCAATTCCCTCTTTTGTTGATGGACATTTGGGTTGTTTCCAGTTTGTGGCTCTTATGAACATATACTCCTGTACAAGTCTTTTTGTGACTTAGGTATGCAAACATCTAAGAGTGGAAAGGCTGGCTCATAGGATATACAAAGGTTTAATTGTATAAGAAACTCCCATAAAGTTGTTCGAAGTGGGTGTCTCATTTTACACACCTGCCAGCAATATATGAAAGTTTCAGTTGCTCTACCCCTGCCAACATTTGGTCATGAGTCTTTTTTATTTTAGCCATCCTAATAGGTGTGAAAGGGTACCTCACTGTGGTTTCTTTGTTTTTTAAACAGTTTTATTGTGTCATAATTCACACACCACGTAATTCACCCAAAGTACACAACTCAATGGCTTTTAGTATATTCAGAGTTGTGTGCCCCCCCACTATAATCAATTTTAGAACATTTTCATTAACTAAAAAAAAAAAAACACAAAAAAAACGTGCTGAACCCCTTAGCCATTACTCCCCATCCCTAGGTAACCACTAACCTACTTTTTGTCTCTATGGATTTGTCTATTCTAGATATTTCATATAAATGGGATCATACAATATGTGGTCCTTTGTGACTGGTTTCTTTCACTTAGTATATCTTGGAGGTTTGTCTGCTTCGTAGCATGTACCAGAACTTCATTCCTTTTTATGGCTGAATTATATTCCATTGTAGGGACAGAGTCTTGCCATGTTGCTCAGGCTGGTCTCAAACTCGTGGCCTCAAGTGATCCTCTTGCCTTGGCTAGTGCTGGGATTATAGGCATGAGCCACTGTGCCCAGCCTCATGTGCAAGTTTTGTGGGGACACATATTTTCATTTATCTTGGGTGTATGCCTAGGAGTAGAAATGCTGGGTCAAATGGTAACTCTTATGTTTAATCTTTTGAGGAACTGCCAGACTGTTTCTCAAAGTGACTATACTATTTTACCCTCATTCTAGTTTTAATTTGCATTTTCTCTATCGTCAAAAGGTGTTAAGCACATTCCATGTGTTTTGCAGTCATTTTTATAATTTCTTTTGTGAAGTATCTTTCAAGTCTTTCACTCACATTTTTGAGTTGTTCATATATTTTTATTGATTTATAGGAATATTTTAAATATTCTGGATACAACCTATGCTTTTTCTTTTTTTTTGAGACAGAGTCTTGCTCTGTCGCCCCAGGTGAAGTGCAGTGGTGTCATCACAGCTCACTGCAACATCAAACTCCTGGGCTCAAGTGATCCTCCTGCCTCAGCCTTCTGAGTAGCTGGGACTACGGATATGTGCCACCATGGCTAATTTTTTCTATTTCTTTTTAGTAGAGACAGGGTCTTACTCTTGCTCAGGCTGCTCATGAACTCCTAAGCTCAAGCAATCCTCCATGCTTGGCCTGACTGCTAGGATTACAGGCATCAGGCCCAACCTATTCACTTTCTTAAAGTGTCTTTTGATGAGTTGAAATTTTAAATTTTGATGAAGTCCAATTTATCAATTTTTTTCTTTCATGTTAGTGCTTGTGTCTACAAAATCTTTGCCTAACCCCCAAGTCATTAAAATATACATACAGTTTCTTCTAGAAGCTTTATGTTTCTGGATTTTAGATTTATACCTATGATTCATATAGAATAAATTTTTGTGTAAAGACTGAGATAGGGGTTGAGATTCATTTTTTTTTCCATACATATATCCACTTGTTCTAGTAACATTAGTAAGACTTTGCCCAGTGGATTAACACCTTGGTTGAAAGTGAACTGATTGTGGCTGGGCGCAGTGGCTCACGCCTATGATCCTAGCACTCTGGGAGGCCGAGGCGGGAGGATTGCTTGAGCTCAGGAGTTCAAGACCAGCCTTAGCAAGAGTGAGACCATGTCTCTACTAAAAACAGAAAGAAATCAGCTGGAAAACTAAAAATATATATATAGAAACAATTAGTTGGGCATGGTAGCACATGCCTGTAGTCCCAGCTACTCGGGAGGCTGAGGCAGGAGGATCGCTTGAGCTCAGGAGTTTGAGGTTACTGTGAGCTAGGCTGACGCCATGGCACTCTAGCCTGGTGACAGAGTGAGACTCGATCTAAAAAAAAGAAAAAAATCATCTAAGCATTCTATCTCTAGTTCTCTCTACTTAAGGTACCAGAACTGAATAGAATCTCTGTGACTACAGGTTTGAGACCAATTGATATGTATCATGACAACCATAAATAAGGTTTCAGAAAAGTACACGAGCATTGCTAGCTGGTGTGCTCACCACTTACCTTGGTTCAGTATGATCCGGCAAGGCTGGCACTGATCCCCATGGCACAGCTCAGCACAGCGGTGCTGACCACAGTTCAAAACATTCTCACATGGATTAGAACAGTGGACTGAGACAGCCTGTCCACAGCGAACTGTGTGTCTGTAAAGACAGGAGATGTAAAGATGCATCAGTCTAAAAGTTCTTGTTGGACTGTTAAATTAACACTGAAGTCCAAACCCTCCCCTCGAACCCTACTAAACCTTTCTCTTAACCTCGTTTCCTCCATTTTTTCTGTATGTCTCTCACCTCCAATTCTTATTTCCTCAATTACTTTCCATTTCTCCACATTTTCCATCCTGCCTTTTTCTCTCTCCTATTTTATGACCAGTGAGGAACTGAAGGCTATTCTTAAGTATTTTTTAGTGTGATATCATTTCTATGGGGAAAAAGCCCTGGAGGAAGGTTTAGAAGATCTGGGTTCTAGTCCTAGCTCTGCCTGGAGCTCCCACAGTACATTTCAGACAGAGAGGGAAGGGCAGCTATAATGTACCCAGATCTGACATACCCACACGGAAAGCACAATGGCATTTTCTTGACACCAGCATTTTGGCTTTTTATGCAGCTACAATACTTAGAACATACTGTATGTGAATTTGATTCAGGGTGGGGAAATCATTCTAGTTTTGTTCTACTAAATATCCTGATTTTGTCAACTTCCTGGCTAGAGAAGGATATGAGGCCAGTATTTTTAGACAATTATCTTCAGGCCTGTTTCCAGGGTAATGGTTTAGCACTTGGAGTCTATAGTCCTACAAGAAGAGTTTTATTCTGTCCCCTACTTCCATTTCAACTATATATTTATGTTAAATACACAGATGATCAATTTGCAGTACTCAGCATAATGGCTAACATTGACCTACCATGCTACCATTTTGCCTAGCACTATGGCTAACATCAACCCCCTGAGGTGGAAACTACTATTTTTCTACTGTATGATAAGAAAAATAAGGTTCATCGGGACCAAGCAACTTGCCCAGAATCAACAACCAGTGGCAGAGCCAGTATCTGACCTTTGTGACCCAGAACCCTAACATGTGACTCTCAGGCCACACTAAGTTCAGTAAATGCTAAATAAACACACACCACTGAAAATCTACATGATCTATCTCATCTCGTGGTTCAGAAATCATTTTTATATCTTACTGTACCTCAGAGGCACTCCACAGCTATCAGTGGTCCTTGCACTGATGATGCCAGAGAACTTGTATTATAATGAAAAGCGGGTGCATTCTGGGGTCACTTAATCTATCATTCAACGACATTCACTGAAAACCTCCTAGATGCCAGGTACTATGCTAGGCATAGGAAAACGATCACTGCCTCTTGGACCTTAAGAGACCTGGGTTCAACTCCTGGTTTGTCACCCACCAGAGGCTAAAAAAAATTGCTGTGGCTCTGGCATTTCACCTGAAATGGGTAAGCTCACAATCTCACTGTGTATACAACTTCTTAATCACTTATAACTGTGGTCCCCGAACCCCAAGCAGCAGAGCTCCGCACGCCTCCCACCCCCACCTCCACCCCAGTTCATGGAAAAACTGTCTTTCATGAAACTGGTCCCTAGTGCCAAAAAGGCTGGGGACCACTGACTTGTAAGACTGTAAAACAGGATCAGGGGAGCACACGAAACTACTATTTATAGAAAAGTACTATTTATATCTATCATTTATTTATATCTACCTATAAATCTTTTACTTTAGAAATTCACAGCTGGATGCAGTGGCTCACACCTGTAATCCCAATACTTTGGGAGGCCAAGGTGGGAGGATTGCTTGAGACCAGCTTGGGCAACATAGCAAGATTCTGTTTCTCCAAAAATTTGTTTAAAAGTTAGTTGGGCATGGTTGCACATGTCTGTAATCTCAGCTACTCAGGAAGTTGAGGTGGAGGATTGCTTGAGCCCAGGAGTTTGAGGTTGCAGTGAGCTATAATCGTGCCACTGGACTCCAGTCTGGGCAACAGAGTAAGACCTTGTCTCAAAATAAAAAAAAAAAAAAAAGAAGAAGAAGAAAAGAAAAAGAAATTCACAAGAAAATCATTGGAAACTGAATGAGGTCTTCTTTAGAATGTAATTCTAATGTTACCTGGTCCGTCCACATTCACATGTTTTAGTCATAAAGGCAGGGCAGGGTGGGCAAGGTCCAGGATGACAGAGACTGAAAAAGAAAGACTTCAGTGAATAAACTATACACATGAATCTAAACTTGAACAAAGCTGCTCCAACTAGGTCCTATTATGAATGAGCAACAAATAAACCTACTATAAAATATCTTTGTATTTTTCTAAAGTTGATTAAACTATTTTTTAAAAGATATCAACTATATTTTTACAAAGAAAAAAAGTGACAGCATTATCACTTCAGAATATTTAACTGGAAAAATAAAGCCCAACCAGAATACTATTTTTATTTGGGTCTGGCAGTCAAAGATGACATATTCAAATATGGTCTTCGCTCAGTTACAGCATTGTGTGGGCATAAAAATAGCTTGCTACTCAGGTGAACGGCAAGATGGCCAATACAGTCCTACAGAACATCAGAATCTAAGCAAACTAACAGAGCTCAAATCTACTAGGTCCATGAGAAGTAGATACATTTTCTCATCAGCTAGTGAAACAATAATCAGGCACTTGGTGCCTGATTGAGAACAGTGCCTCACTTGGGGATAGTGAAAAGGCTGCTGACATGAGGGGAGGCATGCTAGTAAGTAACATAGGGACAGAACACAGGGCCATGGAAAGAACTGAGTTGAGTGATATGCTATAGGTCAGAATCAGAACCCTGAACAGAATACTTTTTATAGGAGCTATGTTATAGAGACTAATAGAAAAAAAATTACAAAATAGAATTTGAATTTTCAAATAAATACTGTTGGGTGGGCGAGGTGGCTCACGCCTGTAATCTTAGTACTCTGGGAAGCCAAGGTGGATTGTTCAAGGTCAGGAGTTCAAAACCAGCCTGAGCAAAAGTGAGAACCAGTCTCTACTAAAAATAGAAAGAAATTAATTGGCCAACTAAAAATATATACAAAAAATTAGCTGGGCATTGTGGCACATGCCTGTAGTCCCAGCTACTAGGGAGGCTGAGGCAGAAGGATCACTTGAGCCCAGGAGTTTGAGGTTGCTGTGAGCTAGGCTGATGCCACAGCACTCTAGCTCAGGCAAAGAGTGAGACTCTGTCTCAAAAAAAAAAAAAAAAAAAAAAAGACAAATAAATACTGTCCTCTTCAAAACAGACACCCTGGTAAATTACAGACTGGTACAGAAATACCACTATTTAAAACCTTTTGGGAACTTCTACAACTGTTTTTTGGGAGGGGGCATTCTAAGTGATGGCAAATTACAAACCTTTAGGAATTAAAAGTCATTCAGAGGGCCAGCCTGTAATCCTAGCACTCTGGGAGGCCAAGGCCGGTGGATTGCTCAAGGTTAGGAGTTTGAAACCAGCCTGAGCAAGAGCGAGACCCCCGTCTCTACTAAAAATAGGAAGAAATTAATTGGCCAACTAAAAATATATACAAAAAATTAGCCGGGCGTGGTGGCGCATGTCTGTAGTTCCAGCTACTTGGGAGGCTAGGGGAGAAGGACTGCTTGAGCCCAAGAGTTTGAGGTTGCTGTGAGCTAGGCTAACGCCACAGCACTCTAGCTGGGGCAACAGAGTGAGACTTTGTCTGAAAAAAAAAAAAAAAAAAAGTCAATCAGAGCCAAGTCTAATTAATTAGGTCAGTGATAGAATTTGGCATAAATACAAGTGTGCCTATAAAGTGGTCTGCCTGAGGTTTTTAGTTTTTTTAATGGGACTCTTAAACCAGCTCTAATAATCTTTAAATAAGATTTAAACACTGTGCTGAAATAATTAAAAAAGTTTTTAAGGCCGTGCGCGGTGGCTCACGCCTGTAATCCTAGCTCTCTGGGAGGCCGAGGCGGCCGGATTGCTCGAGGTCAGGAGTTTGAAACCAGCCTGAGCAAGAGCGAGACCTCGTCTCTACCATAAATAGAAAAGAAACTAATGCCAACTAATATATATAGAAAAAAGTAGCCGGGCATGGTGGCTCATGCCTGTAGTCCCAGCTACTCGGGAGGTTGAGGCAGAAGGATTGCTTGAGCCCAGGAGTTTGAGGTTGCTGTGAGCTAGGCTGACGCCACGGCACTCACTCTAGCCTAGGCAACAAAGCGAGACTCTGTCTCAAAACAAAAAAAGGTTTTAGGCCGGGCGCTGTGGCTCACGCCTGTAATCCTAGCTCTTGGGAGGCCGAGGCGGGCGGATTGCTCAAGGTCAGGAGTTCAAAACCAGCCTGAACAAGAGCGAGACCCCATCTCTACTATAAATAGAAAGAAATTAATTGGCCAACTGATATATATATAAAAACTTAGCCGGGCATGGTGGCGCATGCCTGTAGTCCCAGCTACTCGGGAGGCTGAGGCAGGAGATCACTTGAACCCAGGAGATTGAGGTTGCTGTGAGCTAGGCTGACACCACGGCACTCACTCTAGCCTGGACAACAAAGCGAGACTCTGTCTCAAAAAAAAAAAAAAAAAAAAAGTTTTTAAAATAAAATAATTTAAAAAAAAATGGAAAAAAAATAATTAAAAAAAACCCAAAAAACAAAACAAAAAAAAGATTTAAACACTGAAAACAACCCAGAAACAAGTGCCTAGTCTTTTAAGGTGACCTATTTTGACAGATAGTAGACATAAGGTTAAGCATGTTTCTTTAAAGATGAGTATCATAATTCAGTAGTCGTATTTCACATATGTCCTAACCCTTTCACCTTTCAGGTGAAACAATTTTCATTATTGCACATTTAAATAACTATAGACTGACAGATAAGCTGCTGGTCAATGTGGTTGACTCCAGGTTGTTTCAAATATCCCAGAAGCCTGGGATTCAGAACCCACTTTCAGAGATTCTGATTCAATTGCTCTGAGGAAGAGACTCAGTACTGATTTTTTAAAATGTTCCTTAAATGATTCTAATATGCAGCCAGGCTCAAGAACCACTGCTCTAGAGAATTTTATAACTTAGGAAAACAAACCAAAACAGAGAAAGGGGCCAAATGTGGCTTCTGAGTCCTGATAAATGTCAATAAGAGAAATGCAAAGCTTTCTCTGAGACCAGGAAAGTGCTGCTGGGGAATGGATTTCAGCAACCTTTATGTTGCTGATAGAAGTAAAAGGACAGTTCCAAGTGTGAGACACAGGAGTGGTTTTAAGGTGTCCTTTCCCTTCAGACATGGTGTTGACCACCTGATTTATGTCACTTCTGATGTTCTCTGGTAGTTACAATAAGAGCACATTTCTGCTAAAGGCTTCAGGAAGACAGTCCATGCAGATGGTTAATTTCTTATTACTGAATTTACTTAAAATGTCAGCTAAAGGAAAAAATGGTTTAAGTAAATGAGTCCCTGAGGAAGAGCCTATGCAAGCAGTCAAGGGGAAGCAGGCAGATGACAGCCTAGCAGATTGCAGGCCATGCTGTTTAGCTTAATCTGAAACAGCTCTACACCCACTGACATTTTCCAAGCGCCACCGCCACCTTGATCGCAATGCCCCTGGTCCAATATTTACCCCTGCTCCATGCAGTCGAAGCACCAAGATAACACTCTGATGTTTTACTCCTAACATTTGGGTAATAAAAAGCAAGAATTACCATTTTCTGACCACTTGCCAGACTCTGTACTGAGCCTCATAGGTTCATTAATTCATTTAATTTTCATAGAACACTATTATTATTATTCATATCATTATTATTTTACAGATGCAGAAATCCAGGCTTAGAGAAGTTAAGTAACTTGTCCAAGGTACTGTAACTATTTAAGTGACTTGAACTCAGTTTTTAAACCTTGGTTTGTAGGAATGTATTTGTAACTGATCAATTGCTTCTCTATTACTGTGCATTTCTCTTATTATTTAGAAGCTGATTGGATACATTCTAAAGCTTGCTATTTACTGTAGGGAAAAGATTCACATTCTCAAAACACTGTCTGATAGGACCTTAAACAATTTTCTTTCTCCAGACAGAAGGCTGTTGTATACATTCTCTTTGGACCTGCATATCACTGGGGGATAAAATACTTGAGTGTCATTTCTTCTTAGAAGCCAGCAATGTAATACAGTGGAAGGAGGTTTTGGAAACTGCTGCTTCACCATGTCCTAGCACTGTGACATTGGGCAAGATGTTTGGCCTTTCAAAACCTCATCTGTAAATGGAAATGATAAATAACCATACATCACTGGGTTGTGGTAATGACTCAATAAATTGACTTCTGTAGAGTGCCTGGCACAGAGTAGGTGCTCAGTAAATGGTCCCGTATTACCCTTCACCCCGATAAGTTACATGCTAACCAGATATGTGTACTTAAAGCCACCAGCAAAGCATATCCACCAGGAATCCCAAGAGGTCTTAGCATTCCAACTTACAGGTTACAGGAATGTGGGCAGTCCTGGCCAGGCTGTTTCTTTCTACAAACCTCACCACAACTATGTGGAATTTCATTTCTGCTCCATTCAGGATTCTTTACCTTGCCTAAAACATATCAGATCAGAGAGTCAATGGTAAAAAGCTCCAACCACCTCCTCAACTTTAATGAAACAGTATAGTATAGCTAGACAGCATGAAACGTTAGTGTGTTTTTCATTTGTTCAACAAATGTATTATTTCACATTCTAAAATAAAAACATGAATGTAATATAATACTATTCATCAACAGCTTCACTGAGTATGATAAATCTTAAATTCTGGATTACCCAGGAAAGATAAATAAAAAGAAGTAATTTTTACTTATGAAAATGCCATTTTGACTAATGGACATATTTAATCTGATAAAAATACCTACAAGATAAGCTTTTTGTAAATGGCCTTGAGACAGACATAGAAAAAGCTGTTGTAAAGATCAGAGGAGGGGGGCCAGGTGCAGTGGCTCAAGCCTATAATCCTAGCACTCTGGGAGGCTGAGATGGGAGGATCTCTCACAGTCAGGAGTTCGAAACCAGCCTGAGCGAGACCCCGTCTCTACTATAAAAATATAGAAAGAAATTAATTGGCCAACCAATATATATAGAAAAAATTAGCTGGGCATGATGACACATGCCTGTGGTCCCAGCTACTCGGGAGGCTGAGGCAAGAGAATTGTTTGAGCCTAGGAGTTTGAGGTTGCTGTGAGCTAGGCTGACGCCAGGGCACTCACTCTAGCCTGGGCAACAAAGTGAGACTCTGTCTCAAAAAAAAAAAAAAAAAAGATCAGAGGAGGGAATAAGGGAAGAACACTAGGGGAAGGGGAGCAGACAGTAAGAGATGGAAGGGATATAAATGCCCTCTGTATAGGAATTCGCCTATTCAAAAGCTGTAAAGTAGGCATAAAAGAGCTATAATTTTATAATCAATGTCACTTTGCAAATCTTGACTATCCATGCACTTAGTGCAGAGGAGGAAAGAGTAAAACGGGCTCGGATTCCTCTTTGCCCTTGAGGAATTCATCCTCACTTGGGCAATTTGCACACTAAAAGACAGTCATCCCCACTTCAAGGCCTCTGCTTTTCTCTCTATAATGTATCATGAATAAAATAAAATTTTATTCATGCTGAGAGGTTCAATATGCCTAAAGGTCAGTTCCTGAATCTACAGTTCCTGAATCTACAGTTTCTGCCTTGTCCTGAATCCTCAGTTTCAGTCCCACTTGTCCAAATGTTTGCTGAACATCTCTGCTTGGGGTTTCACAATCATCTCAAACTGATTTTATCCATAGCCAAAGTTCACATCTTCCATCTACAACCCAACCCCTTCTTCAGTGTTCCCTACTTCTGTCAGCATCACTGTCAGAGTCACACTCAAAAACTAATCTTTGCTGACTCCTCTTCTTCTTTCAACATTCTATTTAATCACCAAATCTTGTCAATTTTTCCCACACAGTATCTCTCACCTCATTTCCTCTCCCACTCCTGCTCTTTTCTCTCTACTGGCAAAACTTCATCTCTAGACTACTACAAAAGCTTCCCTTGCCTCTGTGCTTTCTTGCTCCAACACAGTGCCCTGGTTTTCCCTTAACCTCTTCCAATGGCTCCACTTCTTTTCCCTGACTCTATATGATGGGTTTTTTCCTTTCCCTTCCAGGGTTCTGTATCACATCCCTTCTTTACTTCTTACCCTTTTTACCCACTAGGTTCTCATCCACTCCCCTCAACTGTGGCTATCATCCCTACGTCCTGATTTTCAAATATTCCTATGTGCCTGTTGGACATCTATCACCGAATGTCCTGCCCACTCCTCCAACTCAACAATTCTAAACTGAATTCACTATTCCCACCAAACATAGTTCTTTTGACCTGTTCTTTTCCTTGGTATCACCAGTTCCAAAAGGATAAAACTTTGGAGTCACATTTGGGTTTCTCCCTTTCTCTCTGCTATTAATTCCTGTTTACCTTTTCCTTTCTAGCCTGCTCATTATAGACCTTTATTATTCTTCATCTGTATTATTTTAAGTCCCCAAATTGTTTAGGTACCAAAATACTATACACACAGCCATCAAAGTAATTTCCATGAAGAATCACAGCCTGGCCGGGCGCAGTGGCTCACACCTCTAATCCCAGCACTCTGGGATGCTAAGGCGGAGGACTGCCTGAGGACAAGAGTTCTGAGACCAGCCTGAGCAAGAGTGAGACCCCCAAAATAGAAAAAATTAGCCAGGCGTGGTGGCAAGTGCCTGTAGTCCCAGCTACTTGGGAGGCCGAGGCAGGAAGATTGCTTGAGCCCAGGAGTTTGAGATTGCAGTGAGCTATGATAACGCCACTGTACTCTAGCCTGGGCAACAAAGTGCGACCCTGTCTCAAACAAAACAAAACAAACAAACCAACAAACAAAAAGCCTCAGAATTTAACAGTAAAATATGTAAGACCAGAAGATTCCTAGTAAAATAGTGGCCAAAGTAAGAAAGGTGTAACAAAGGGGAGCTTCCTTTGGAATAGGGCATTTGGGGTCAGATCTTAAATTATACAATGGATGAGAATTTAAAGAAAAGGGGGGAAAACATCTGATAGTCAATGAGTTCACCAAGATATTGAATCTAGAAGAGTTACAGTAATGACTAACTCTTGGTGAAAGCTGCTAAGTAAAAGGAAAGGAGAAATATGAACTGATTGGTTAGAAAAATAAGGAGAGCATGCAAGAAGAGCTAGTCATTTCAAGAAGGGAGGGGGGATCAAAGGTGTCAAGGGCTGTCATGCTGCCAAAAAGGTTATGAACCCATAAATCAGCCCTAAATATGGTTAGGAAGAGGTCACTGATAACTTCTGAACACAGTTTCAGTCTGGCAACAAGGACAGAAGCAAAAATGCAATGGTTCAAGGAGGAAAACAAATGGTTAAGAAACAAAATCCGAAAAATCAACAATTAGATGGAGAAGGTTAGTCATTAAAAGACAGGCAAGGCCGGGCGTGGTGGCTCACGCCTGTAATCCTAGCACTTTGGGAGGCCGAGGCGGGTGGATTGCTCAAGGTCAGGAGTTCGAAACCAGCCTGAGCGAGACCCCGTCTCTACCAAAAATAGAAATAAATTAATTGACCAACTAAAAATATATATACAAAAAATTAGCCGGGCATGGTGGCACATGCCTGTAGTCCCAGCTACTCGGGAGGCTGAGGCAGTAGGATCGCTGAGCCCCGGAGATTGAGGTTGCTGTGAGCCAGGCTGACGCCACGGCACTCACTCTAGCCTGGGCAACAAAGTGAGACTCTGTCTCAAAAAAAAAAAAAAAGACAGGCAAGAAAGAAAAAAAAAAAGACATGCAAAAAACAGGCTAGCAGTAGGAAGAATCATTCCTGATATATAGGGGAACTGAGCTATTCAAAAACAGGAAGTAGTATTCCATAAAGAGGGCGGATACAAGGATACAGTTTGTAAGGGTGGTTTATAGAAAATCTCTCTGTTTATTATAAATGCCAATAACTTATTTCTTGGATTAAAAAAAAAAACACTACTTTTTACTTTTTACTCATGCTGCTCAAATCTGGAATATCAAAGCTGTTACAGCTAGGGGTTAGGGAAGCTCATATCCATACTTGTCTCAGCCACCTGGTCGGCTCTGGTCTCAAGCTAAGACTAGGGAGACCTGCACGACAGTTCAGAAGCTGTATGAGCCTGGTTGGCATGATGAGAAGGCCCATCTCCAGAAAAGCCTGTGAAGGGCACAAAGGCTGTGACTCTAGCTATGTGATGGACCACATAAGTATGGTCTTGTAGGCTCTTACAGCTTTGAAGTCTTAGTAACTTCTAAAACATGCCCAGTAGACCACCTCTCCTGGACTGGGAACTGAGGTTCAATACATAAAGTGAAAGAAGACTCCAGTGTATAGAAACAAACTTACCGCAGAAACAAATGTAGGTATTAGGAACATGTGCAGAGACATTCTGACAGGCAGGGCACCTCCAACCACTCTGGCCATCTGTCAAGAAAAATGAGAATAAGCCAAATGAATTTTCTTTCAAAAATCACACAGAATCTTCAAAAATTTAAATCTGTAAAAAGCTACAATGCAGGGGTAGTAATTTCAATGTTAAGTATAACAGACATTTAAGAAACAAATTCATACACACACACGAAAAAATAAACAAATTCACAACACTGAATGTTTTGCTTAAATACTGCATTTGGGATTATATTTATAAGGATTTTCAGATACAGTGAATCAAGTGGGTATCTATTTTGTTTTATTTCTAATGTCAACATTATCTGAATCTTAGCTCAAAAAAATAGGGTAAAATTTTGTTTTAGTTTTACTTTTTAGAAATAGAGTCTTGCTGTATGTATTGCCTAGGCTGGAGTACAGTGGTATGATCATAGCTCACTGCAACTTTGAACTCCTGGGCTTAAGCAATCATCCCACCCCAGCCTTCTGAGTAGCTGGGACTACAGACATGTGCCACCATACCCAGCTAATTTTTAAATATTTTTGTTGAGATGGGGTCTTGCTATATTGCTCAGATTGGTCTCAAACTCCTGGCCTCAAGCAATCTTTCTACCTGAGCCTCCCAAAGTATTGGGATTACAGGCATGAGCCACTGTGCCTGGTCAAAATATTTGAGTATATCCAGAAAAACCTATACATTTTGAATTAAAGTTCCATAGTTTAGAAAGCATACTATTAACATTTGCATTATCCATAGAATACTAGTATACTTTGGGAAAAGCCTACAATATACTATAGAGAAGATCTGTGAAAGGCAGAAGCAACTTCAATATCCTAGAGGTATCCTAGCATTCCGGGAGGCCGAAGAGGGCGGATCGTTTGGGCTTAGGAGTTCGAAACCAGCCTGAGCAAGAGCGAGACCCCGTCTCTACTAAAAATAGAAAGAAAGTAATTGGCCAACTAAAACATATAGAAAAAATTAGCCAGGCATGGTGACACATGCCTGTAGTCTCAGCTACTTGGGAGGCTGAGGCAGAAGGATCGCTTGAGCCCAGGAGCTTAAGGTTGCAGTGAGCTATGATGATGCTATTGCACTCTAGCCTGGGCAACAGAGTGAGACTCTGTCTCAAAAAAAAAAAAAAGATCTAGTGTTTGATAGCACAATAAGGCCACTAAAGTTAACAATTTTTTGTATATTTCAAAATAACTAGAAAAGTGAAACTGGAATGTTCTTAACATGAAGAAATGATAAATGTTTGAGATGACAGATATCCCAATTACCCTGATTTGATCATTATACAGTATACATCGGTATCAAAATGTCACATGTACCCCATAAATATGCAGAACTATTATGCATGCATAAAAATAAAAATTTAAAAATGGACAAAGAGCCAGGCATGGTGGCTCATGCCTGTAATCCCAGAGCTTTGGTAGGCTGAGGCAGGAAGATCACTTGAGCCCAGGAGTTTGAGACCAGCCTGGGCAACATACTAAGACCTTGTCTCTAAAAAAAATTTAAAAAAATTAAAAAAGAGAGAAGAAAAAAATAATTAAAAATAGAATTAGCATATGATACAGTAATCACACTACTGTGTATACATCCAAAGGAAATAAAATCAGTATGTTGGAGAAAAATAAATAAATGCTAACATTTTCAATAAAAGTAACTGAGTTTATCACAACCTAAATATAATTTAATATTATTATGTTTAGCTAGTTTATTTAAGATCTATAGCTGAATTCTGGTCATCTGAAACATGTGATTAAGGTAACACACTCTCTTTGAAGACAAAAATATTTAAGTGGAATTAAACAGTATTTTTAAAGGTAGCTTTAAGACCTGAACATATCAAATGAATAAGAATAACTACTCAGAAGTGAAAAATAATTCACCTGCTTGAGATGCTGGAGACCTTGCCCATTTCTTTATGCAGGTCAGATGAAACACATGATAACAGCTCTGACAATTCCACACCGGGGCTGTGACTCGAACCAATTCACAGCATACCATGCACTCATATTTTTCTGTAGTTAGCTGTTCAATTAGAGAACCTGTTTAACAAAACAAAACAAAATAATAAACACAGAAAAGCATTCCTTACTTTAGTCAATCAAGGATCAGCATGTCATTTTAGAAAAGAATCAAGACATACAGATTTAAAGGGATATCCCATTCTGAGTAAGGTGGTTGGCTGTTCAGAAGGAGCAGGAGTATGCTGAGGTAGAGGATTTAGGGGGGAGACACTCAGATGGGGATTCCCACAACTGAAGAAACATCCCTAAGAAACTGCCTAGGAAATTACCAGAGTAGCCAAATGCTCCTGGTAACACAGCTTAAGCATGCATGGGGCAGTGCACTATAGAATCTTGCCTTGCATTCTCTGATTCTAGGAGGCCTTGAATCTAACAGACCCATGGATTTAGGGTAGGGAGGGGCTTGTGAAGCTACAGTGGTCAGCTGTAAGAAGCCTAAGCCCAGGCAGGTTCCAACAACCCATGGAGGGTGACATGGTTCCAGCAATTGCCCTTAAAGTCTTTAGACACTCACTTAACAAAGACTTGGTTGGTGTCTACCACCAGCCCCTCTAGTAGGGTTCCCAGACTGAAGGAGACACAGAGTTGGGGTCCAAGAACTCACCATCTAGTGAGGGAGACCAGTGACCAGTGTATAGCATCATAAGAACCCTCCTAGATTTATTCCTGAATACCTTCACCCACTTCCAGATTTTTTTCCTCAAACATGATCATGACAAAGTCTTTTTAGATCCCAACATAGCCAGGCAATCTCAAAGCTGAGTGTATATGTGTATGTACCTGTGTATATTTCTTAGTATTATTGTTGTTTTCAGGTCCAAATGGGTTAAAAGAATGAAATAACTGATCTCAAATGCAACATTCCAAGTGCTATGCAAAAGCACTTTACACATATTATTTAATCCTTTCAACAAGGCTGTAACATAGGTTCCATTTTAAACACAAAGAGAAGGCTGGGCGTGGTGCCTCACGCCTGTAATCCTAGCACTCTGGGAGGCTGAGATGGGAGGATCTCTCACGGTCAGGAGTTCGAAACCAGCCTGAGCAAGAGTGAGACCCTGTCTCTATTATAAATAGAAAGAAATTAATTGGCCAACTAATATATATAGAAAAAATTAGGCAGGCATGGTGGCGCATGCCTGTAGTCCCAGCTACTCGGGAGGCTGAGGCAGTAGGATTGCTTGAGCCCAGGAGTTTGAGGTTGCTGTGAACCAGGCTGAGGCCACGGCACTCACTCTAGCCTGGGCAACAAAGCTAGATTCTGTCTTGGAAAACAAAAATAAAAACAAACAAACAAAAAGAAAATATTAGCCGGGCATGGTGGTGCATGCCTGTAGTCCCACCTACTCGGGAGGCTGAGGCAAGAGGATCACTTGAGCTAAGGAGTTTGAGGTTGCTGTGAGCTAGGCTGATGCCAAGGCACTCACTCTAACCTGGGCAACAAAGCGAGACTCTGTCTCAAAAAAAAAAAAAAAAAAAAATACCACATTGAGCAATGTCTGGCATATACCAGTTGCTCAATAAATGTTTATTGAATGAATGAATAAATGAGTGATACCTAGTCTGTTCCATTATCTCTTGCCGTGAAAGTTGCAGGCATCACCAAAGATTTTGAATAGCTTTCTCCCTTTATTCTCTCCCTGGAATAAAAATACTTTGTGTGGCTGATTAAAGGGAAACCTACCTGCTTTAGATGATACATGAATATATCATAAAACTGAATTCTATTATAAAACCAAAGAACAAGACTTAGATTCTTTATTAAAAGTAGGGCTAGCCGGGCGCGGTGGCTCACGCCTGTAATCCTAGCTCTCTGGGAGGCTGAGGCGGGCGGATTGCTCGAGGTCGGGAGTTCGAAACCAGCCTGAGCAAGAGCGAGACCTCGTCTCTACTATAAATAGAAAGAAACTAATTGGCCAACTAATATATATAGAAAAAATTAGCCGGGCATTGTGGCACGTGCCTGTAGTCCCAGCTACTTGGGAGGCTGAGACAGAAGGATCGCTTGAGCCCAGGAGTTTGAGGTTGCTGTGAGCTAGGCTGACGCCACGGCACTCACTCTAGCCTGGGCAACAAAGCAAGACAAAAAAAAAAAAAAAAAAAAAAAAAAAAAAAAAAAAGTAGGGCTACCGTACCCTGTATAGGTTAACTTCTATGAATAACACAATTTTATTTTCTACAAGTTAGCATGTAACATGTAGAAGATTCTGGTGGAGTTAAGTAAGAGAGCTCATGAGAGAGATTAAGTTTGAGGCTTCTATATACAAGAGGCTGATTGGGACAGAAGAATAATCTGTGAGAATTATTTTGGGGGTGAATTTTATAGAAAATGCCTATTGACCATTCCAGAATAGAATGGACTTAGAAAGACACAGAAAAGTAAGTGAAGTATACTTACTTCACTTAACATACTTAAAAATACTACATTGTCTGTTGTTTTGATTTTTACCCCAAAGATTAATTTTTTTTAATGTTTCTCTTATTCATCAAGTTTAGAGCTTGTTAATAGATAAGTATTGTTTTATAATTGTTGTTTTAAGATCCAGTTGCAGAAAAATTTGACCACTAGGATGCACATACATAGGGTGATGGCTACCACCTTTCAATCACCCACAAATTATTGCTAAACCTCTTCCAAAAGCTTTCTCTCTCATATCCCACATTCAATATGTCAGCAAATCATGTTGGCTCTACTTTCAAAATATATCTAGAATCCAACCTCTCTTGCTATCCCTCTGGTCCAAGCCACATTTAGCTTCCCTGGATTATTACAATGGCCTCCTAACTAGTGTATCCACCTCTGCCCTTGCTCTAATATAGTTTATTCTCAACACAGCAGCCAGAGGCAGACTACCAAAATGCAAATTAGGCTGGGTCGGTGGCACACGCCTATAATCCCATCACTTTGGGAGCCCAAGAGTTTGAAACCAGCCTGGGCAATATAAGGAGACCCCAGTCTCTACAAAAAATTTAAAAATTAGCTTGGTTGGTGGTGTGCACCTGTAGTCCCTGCTACTTAGGATGCTGAGGCAGCATTGCCTGAGCCCAGGAGCTTAAGGTTGCAGTGAGCTATGATGATGCCACTGCACTCTAGCCTGGGCTACAGAGTGAGACTCTGTCTCAAAAAAAAAAGCCAATTAGATAATGCCATTCTTCTGCTCAGAACTTGCCAATGGCTCCTATTTCTCAAATTAACAGGCAGCTTTCTGCCTGAGGGTCTTTACACTTGACATTCCCTCGGCCTAGAGACTTTTCCTAGACATTTACACACCTCAGTCCTTCATCTCCTTCAGGTGTTTACTCAAAATATGACCTTCTCATAAAGCATTCCCTAGCCATACTTTAAAAAATTGCAACCTACTCCCTCAACATTCCCTATCCCTCTTCCACACTTTATTTTCCTGCACAGCACTTAAAACTATCTGATATACCATATATTTTACTTATTTTGCTTATTATCTAAGTTTATGCATAGAATGTGTGGTTCTTGAGGGCAGAGACTTTTACTAGAATGGTATCTGGGACATAGCACCCAATAATATTTGTTTTATAAATTAAATAAAAATATAACCAAAGGTTCCAGAAAGGTCCTAGAAAGAGAAACAGTATAACTGTTTCACTGACAATATTAACTTTCCCTTCAGTTGTATCAAAATATGCCTAACATGTGAAATATGATACTGCCCTGGAATAACCCTGTGCTGATAAACTATCATGTTTCAGGTCCAAGAGTCTTGCCCTTGCTGGGTGGCAGCCCTGTCCTGATCACTGGCTCTTCTTCAATCCCAGTAGGCCTCCTCCCACTATCCCTATCATTTCTCAGTGACAGCTGTGTCTACTCTATACTTCTAGTTGGACAGCATGCCAGTTAAGAGGGTGCTGACCCATTGAAATAATCAGTAGAACAGAGACCTAACTGTAGTGTTGACGGCAAACTTTTCAGATATGCCAGTAACTGTTTAAAGAAAAAAAGATAAAACAATCTTGATTTGAAAAATCCAAGAGTAAAAAGACACTTTTTAAGACAATCAGGGGAATTTGTGGACTGTGTGTTAGATGATTTCAAGAAAGTATTGCTAACTTTGTTAAGTAATGAAAACACTATGATTATGAAAGAAAATGGCTATTTTTTTTTTTTTGAGACAGAGTCTCGTTTTGTTGCCCAGGCTAGAGTGAGTGCCATGGCGTCAGCCTAGCTCATAGCAACCTCAAACTCCTGGGCTCAAGCAATCCTCCTGCCTCAGTCTCTCAAGTAGCTGGGACTACAGGCATACGCCACCATGCCCGGCTAATTTTTTCTATATATATTAGTTGGCCAATTAATTTCTTTCTATTTATAGTAGAAACAGGGTCTCGCTCTTGCTCAGGCTGGTTTCGAACTCCTGACCTTGAGCAATCCGCCCGCCTCGGCCTCCCAGAGTGCTAGGATTACAGGCGTGAGCCACCGCGTGCCCGTCCGAAAATGGCCATTTTAAAAAACCAGATGTATGCTGGAAGCAAATGGGGGTAAAATAATCCAATATCTGGGATTTACCTTAAAGCATATTAGCAAAGCAAAAAGAATATATAAAACAAATGAGAGATTAAATATTAATGCACATGTATTTTATAGCATATTGTATATTAAAGTTTATAAAGATTTCTTAAAAGGAAAATATTACACCATAATGAGCAAAGAATAAGGGGTATGGGGGTAAAAACTTAACCTATGTAATGAATACTATCATGGTGACAGGCACACTAAAAGCCCTGACTTAAGTATTATACAAGGCATCCATGTAACAAAAACATTTGTACCCCATTAATATTTTGAAATAAAAAAATGAAAAAAAATAAGCAAAGGAATATAAAATTTATATAATAAATTCCAACTATGTAAAAACAAGCATTGAAAAATTCTCTAAGAAAATAGAATAAAAGGTTAAAACTCATTTTATCTAGGTGGTGGGACTAAAGGCAAGTTACCCACTAAAGTAACTTTAGTAAGTACTAAAGTAACTACTTTGGTAGCTAACTTT